ATTTCACTCTTTTCTTTTGGTTTCTGTTTCGTTTGATAGCTGTGGTGGTGATTACTTGCAATCAATTTACCTTACTTGTTTGTTACTGTTTCTTTGTTGTTGCAATTGTTTGTGCATCTGAAATTCTATATTGACACAGGATGTATCTGATCCTGAAGTGTTCATGACGTTTCCAGTCTTGGGCGATTCGCTCGGGGCATCTTTTGTTGCTTGGACAACAACTCCGTGGACTCTTCCTAGCAATCTTGCTCTGTGTGTTAATGCCAGTTTTACCTATGTTAAGGTTGGTTGTCTTTGTTGCCGTAATGGAATGTGCGGAACGTAAAAAGATGTTCACTTAACCTTTCAAGTTTTTTTCAATAGTTGAATTAGAATTTGATATTTTTTATATAGATAGAAACAAAGTAGCAATAAGTTGCAGACTATATTTTTACTTGAACTCTAATTTTTGGAGCTGATGAAATCAGGTTCGCAATAAGTATTCGGGTAAAGTTTATATTGTTGCTGAATCTCGTCTGTCTGCACTCCATAACCCTAAGGAGAAACCCAAAGAAACTGTTGCTAATAATTCAAATGACGTTCCTAAAAATACAAATGCGAAGACCAAGGGATCTTCAAGTGGGAAAACAGAAAATGTGTTGGATTCTTTTGAAGTGCTGGAGAAAGTCTCAGGGGCTTCATTAGTGGGGAAAAAGTGAGTAGTTCTTCCTTCTACTACATTACCCTTTCATATTAGTTTTTATTTTCTGTTTGTGGACTTTCTAATTGCATTTTGCATATGAAGCATTGTTGAGTATTGAAACTCACAAGGTAACATGTTCTGCAGGTATGAACCATTATTTGATTACTTCAAGGAGTTATCTGATACAGCTTTCAGAGTTGTTGCTGACAATTACGTTACTGACGATAGTGGTACTGGTGTTGTACATTGTGCCCCTGCTTTTGGTGAAGATGATTTCCGTGTTTGCATTGGTAATCAAATTATTAGCAAGGTGTGTACTTTTAAGAACTTGAAATTGTATGAGGATGGCTTTAGTTTTTCCCCTCCTGAAATGCTAGAGGCATAAAATTCTGAGGATTGATTTTAGTGTTGTTGTAACTGATATCCTAAGTCATCAATTTCTGTGCCTTCACATGCTTATTTTTTCTCTGTCCCTAGGGATGATTGATTCAGGTTGATGCATTCTCCACTTATCTCTCATGCCATTTTTCCTATCATGATGCTGCATCTTTTTATGATAACTTTCCTCTTTGTTACTTAATTGTGCCAAGAAACCTCAGTGATAGTACACAACTGCTGAGATTTTCCTTCTTGTTTATTGAAGATGCTTCAGTGCCTAATTAAGTGTTTTGGTACTGTAGGATTTACATTTGTTTAATTGTTACTCTTGTGGAATACTCAATTATTTATTGTTGGAAGCTTTCCCTTCCCAATATGGTTACTCAAATACTGTGTTGGCCTGTAGGATAATCTAACTGTAGCTGTTGATGATGATGGCTGCTTTACTGAAAAAATTACTGACTTTAGTGGGCGCTATATCAAACATGCTGACAAGGATATCATTGAAGCTGTGAAGGTATGCTCCATATATCTAAAGTTATGAGAACCATTGTCAATTTGGAATCATTTATGGTACTGTTAATTTGATAGATTAATTAAGATTCTCATCAACTGAGTGAATGTCACTCTTTTTTTCTTTTTGCTTTTTTTCATACTTCTGTCTCTACAATTATCTTTTGGAATAAATGTCTGTTCTTAAGAATATTGGGACATAAATGCCTTTTCTATGCTTTGACAAGAAAACTTGTTTGGAGAGATAGCAGAAAGATGAAACAAAAGAAAAGACTTGGTGTTTTGGCCAAGAGTATGTATTGGCGAATAAGAAAAACTTGATAAAACAGGACAATGTCTATTAAAAAATCTCTCCCATTCCTCCTTCTGGTTGTCTTGTAAAGGAACCTCTTTACCAGATTGCCCAAGTTACTATGTATCTAAAGTAGAGCTTAAGTTTAAACCATTTGATAGAAGTTAATTTTATGTGTTAGAATGAATAATGTTTATCTAACAACTTTTAAATTGATTATCTTTAATTCTTTTCTTTTCCTCGTTTGTATTTCCTTAGGCAAAGAGTAGGCTGGTTAAATCTGGAGCCTTTACACATTCTTATCCATATTGCTGGAGATCTGATACCCCTCTTATTTACAGAGCTGTTCCAAGCTGGTAGGCATGATTAATCAAGATTTTTTACCTTTCTTAACAGTTTTGTGTAGCTGTCTAGTCAATTTTTCTTGATAGCATCTATGCTATAGTTATGATTTTACTTATAATTTTCTAATTCCAGTATTCATCTAAACATGAATTGTGTGTCATGTGTTGACTTGTCTTTGCTTTTCTATATTATATTAAACGATTGAAATTATAAATAATTCTGGATAATTTTACCTTATAAGGAGGTTGATACTTGATAGCCACTCTAATGTTCCCGTTCTTAATTATCTTCAGTGTAACCTTCACTTTTGGTCTTTTTCTTCAGCTGCAGTCTTGTTTATTTTCCATATTGTATTTTGGCGTATGGCTGCTAGTCTGTTTAAAGCTGTGGTGCTGGTGCATGGCATTATATGAACCATCCCAATTTGTTGTTTTCTGTTTTAGTAATGCCACCCTCTGTCATTTTACTTTAAAGAATTAAAGAAACAGTATCATATGAGTAAGTGAAAGGTTTTACTTCCATACTATCTCCTTCCCAGTTCATATTTTGCTCTTATTGATGAAGCATTTGGTCCTTCCAAGTCATTTGTATTTGTAATTGAGATGAAATTGTAAAGTAGGAGAGGAAAAAGTAAAGCACAACAGGATATACAAAGAATGCTGGGCGATTTGAGATTTCAGTAGAATATTCAAAATAACAAAAAGCCTGATGGATTAGGTTCTTACCTGATTGTTGATTTCAGCTGTCTGTGAATGTTTTTGGCCTGAGGATTTTCAGTGGTGTTTAAAACCCTTGCCATAGTTGCAGCATGAAACTGCAGTACCATGTTTAATGTCTTCATAACTTCCATTAGGTTGAGAGTCCAACAAAGGGGCAGAGACATCATAATATTTTGGAAATAATGACTTACTCCAATCATATACTATCTTATCTTCTTTAGTTTTGCTTTTTGTGAAAGAAGACAAAGTCTAGAAAGCAAAAAGAAAAAGAAGACTTTCTATCTGAAGCTTCCTTTGCCATTCTTTGTAAAACAAAACTATTGAAGTTGATCTTGGCTCAATTTAAGAAAACTTCTAGAGAAGTCTTTATAAGAGAAAAAAAATTAGTATAAAAATAAAACTTCATTTTTAAGTTAGAAACAGTGCTTTTATATTTTTTGAGAAGTTCTCTCATTTAACTTCTCTAAAATTTGATAAAATCAATTGTTTCTAACTTATGAAAGGAGTTTTATTTATTTTTTATACTGATTTTTTTTCTCCAATAAAGATTTCTGTATAAGTTTACCCAAACTGGGCCCTATTCTTATATTTTCATTCTTTTCATGATTTTAAGAAATGAACTCTTTTTTGGATAAATAATGCAGTCTTTTGTCAATAATGATAATCTGTATTTCTAGATAATCAAAATGCGTGTTTAGTTGTTTTTTGAAGAATATGTTATGGTAGTAACTTTGTCATATTTTTGGGATTTTATTCACTCCATCTTCCAACTGGTATTTTTTTTTTAATATTGAATTTCATTTTCTTCATTTCTATTTTCATGTTGATACTTTTCCTGTGATCTTCAACTCTTTTCACTCTCCTTTTAATCGATGGATGGTGGTAATTGACACTTTTCATGAGCCTTTTGCTCCTTTTTTTGTAATTCATCACTTAAATGTCATGCTGTTTCACTGTAGGTTTGTTAGAGTGGAGTTGCTTAAAGAACAATTGTTGGAAAACAATAAGCAGACTTACTGGGTCCCTGATTTTGTCAAGGTACATAGTTTCTTGCTTAACACATCACAATTCCCTCTCCCCCCTCAATTTGTTTATTATATGATCTTGTTTTCGCTCTTCCCTTTTGCTTTTGAGACACGACCAATAGGGGTAGTAATTGTCTTATAAGCGCACTGGTAATTTATTTTATTTAATCATTTGAAAATACTATTTTTTGGGAATCCGTGTTGATAATTGAAAAAGGATCAATATGTGTGATGTGATTTACGTAGTTATTATAAATGTTACATTTGGGGAAGAATAAATTTTGGGGAATAACAGTTGAAAATAACGGTAAAGGAATTAGAATATTATTTTCTTATATATTTTGCTGTACAGGGTCAATACAAATATAGGGAGCTAATCTATCTAAATAAAGAAATTATAAATTACAAGGAGAATAAAAAATAAATCAAATCTGTCCCTAAGAAAAGGAAATAAATCTGTGATGAATTGAAATAATCTCTTACATTTACGCCTATTTACAGCACTTCCCCTCAAGTTGGTGAGTGGATATCAACCATTCCCAGCTTGCAAGTAAGTTGCTGAAGTCGCTCTGTTGATAGGCCTTTAGTTAGAGCATCTGCTAGTTGGTGTTCAGAAGGAACATAAGTAGTCATTACCAAGCCACTAACCAACTTTTCTTTGATGAAATGTCGGTCTATCTCAATATGTTTAACCTGTCATGCTAAACTAGGTTGTGTGCAGTAGGCTGACTTATTATCACATAATAGTCTCATGAGAACCTTATACTTTATTTTTGATGTCATCTATTATGATCTTCATCCATAACAACTCACATACCCCTTGAGCCATAGCTCTGAACTCTGCCTCTGCACTTGACCTTGCAACAACATTTTGGTTCTTACTCCTCCATGCAACCAAGTTTCCCCCCAAAAACATGCAGTACCGAGTTGTGGATCGCCTATCAACTATTGACCTTGCATAATCAGCAACGGTGTATACTTCCATAGCTAGTTTTCCCTCCTTAAACAGTAGTCCTCATCCTGGGTTTGACTTAAAGTATTGGAGTATTTTATTCATAGCTTGCAAGTGCCTTTCTTGTGGATCATGCATGAATTGGCTAACCACACTAATTGCATAGGCTATATCTGGTCTTGTATGGACTAAATAAATGAGTTTTTCCACCAATCTTTGATATTGAGCCTTTTCCACCTTTGAGCTCTCCTCATCACCTCCAATTCTGTGGTTTTGCTCAATAGGTGCGCTGGTGGTCATGCATCCCAACTTGTCAGTATCTTTGAGGAGATCGAGAACATATTTCCTTGGGGAGATAAAGATGCCTGGTTTGGACTAGGCAACTTCTATCCAAGGAGGTACTTAAGCTTACCTAGTTCCTTCGTTTCAAACTGAGCAGCTAATTTTTCCCTTAGAACCTATCTCTCAAGCTCATCATCACTTGTCATAACCATATCGTCTACATATACCAAAGGAAGTGTAAGTTTGCCTTCTTGGGAATGTTTATTAAAAAGAGTATGATCATCTTGACTCTGCCTGTATCCCAAGGAAATCATAGTCCGGGCGAGTCTCCCAAACCAAGCATGAGGAGATTGCTTGAGGCCATATAAGGCCTTTTTTAACCTGCACACCTTATTCCTTCCATCAATGGGGTCATATCCTAGTGGGGTTTCCATGTAGACTTCTTCCTCCAAGTCTCCATGCAGAAAGACATTTTTAACATTGAACTGATATAGCTCCAAACCAAAATGAGCTGATAAGGAAGGAGAGAATGATCTTCACTATATTCATCTTTGCCACTAGGGCAAACGTCTTGTCATAAATCAATCGCATAGGTCTGACTGCATCCCTTTGCAGCAAGTCTTGCCTTGTATCGATCTAGAGTGCCATTTGACTTATACTTCATTACTTCATAGTATATATCCACCTGCATCGCATGGCCTTCTTGTCCTTGGATTTTTCAACAATCCCCAAGTCATTCTTCTCTAATGCACTCATTTCTTCATTCATGGCTCGAATTCAGTTCTCATCCTTTTAGGCTCCTTGTATTGAAGTAGGGATTCTTACAGAATCAATAGCTGAAACAAAGCTCTGGTGCTGTGCAGAAAGGTGTTTAGTGGACACAAACTGAGATATAGGATACTTAGCACAAGATCTTTTTCCTTTTTGCAAGGCTATGGACAAGTCAAAAGATTCAAGGGTTTGAGTACTTACCTCGGTTCTAACTGTTGAAGTTGCTTTTGGACCGGGCAGGGTTTTTGTCTTCTCTAGTATTTGACACCATAAAATTTATCTTCATTATTGTGTGCTGGTAGGGATGCTGGTTCAGGATCCTTGTCCCTATCAAGGATAGTATTGTCCTCAGCAACTGTAGGTGAATAAGGTGTCAAATCTGCATAAGAGGGACAGATGACAACTCAATGGACTCAACTTCTAGATTATACTCTCCCTGAAGCTGAAGACTACTATAAAAAGACTCTATTTCATGAAAGGTGACATCTATGGAGACATAGACTTGATAACTTTGAGGATGATAACATTTAGATCCCTTTTTGTTTGGAGCATAATCTATGAAGATACATTTGACAGCTTGAGGATCTAATTTTTTCCGATGAGGACTATGAACACGGACATAGGCAGAACATCCAAAGACACGATACTGAAGGCTAGTCATGACAAATAGAAGAAAAGAAAGTAGTCATGAGTTGAACAAGACTAACACCATTCAGAATACGAGAAGGTAATCTGTTTATCAAATCGGTGGCAGTTAAGACAACTTCTCCCCAATACGACTTAGGCACAAACATATGAAAGAGTAATGCCCTAGCATCTTCAAGAAGATGGCGATTTTTCCTTTCAGCAACCCCATTCCGTTGTGGAGTATTTACACAAGTCAATTCATGAACACCATTATCTGTGAGAAACTTGGAGAGGTTATGATTCACATACTCCTTCCCATTATCGGATCATATTCTTTTGATTGATCTTCCAAATTGGGTTTGGATCATCTGATAAAACTTCACAAATAATTGGAAGACCTCATGCTTATCTTTCATCAGAAATATCCATGTAGTGCATTTACAATCATCTATAAATGAGACAAACCAAGCACAAGAAACATTAGGAGTAGAAGCAAGTCCCCATACATCAGAATGGACAAGATCAAAAGGTTCAATACTTTTATTATTACTAGGAAGAAAAGTGGTAGATGGTGTTTGGCAAACTGACAAATATCACAATTAAAAGACTCAACAGACTCTTTGGTGAACAAATGGGGAAACAAAGACTTAAGAACACTAAAAGCAGGATGTCCAAGACACCTGTGCTGAAGCTAAATTTGAGAAGTTGAGGATCCTGAATTGGTCTGATGACAAGAACTGAATGTTTTTTTGCCTAATATTGCTCTTACTCCCTTCAAGCCTCACATAATACAACCTGTCCCGTTCATCGGCAACTCCAATCATCCTTCTCATGACAAGATCCTGAAAGACACAATGGGAGTGGAAAAGGTTACTGCACACTTTTAAGTCTTTAGTTAGTTTGTGAATTGATATAAGATTATTGGAGAGTTTAGGAACATGAAGCACATTTTTTAAATTAAAGGAAGGTTGAAGTTGAATGTCACCACATCTAGTAACCGATGTATGGGGACCATTAGGAACAAATATGTGGTGTTTGTTAGGAAGCTTGGTGTAGGATGAGAAGTTTGAGGGATATGGTGTCATGTGATTAGTAGCACTAGAGTCAATGATCCAGAGTTTTCCAATACTAGAAGCATTAAAAGACAAGAAGCTAGAATTCTTATCCGTCGTAGTCGGAGAACAAGTTCTAGATGACTTACTCAAGGAATTCATGAAAGCCCGTAGACGTTCCAATTCAGCCTTTTAAGTGTCGGGACTTCTTCTTTAGTTTGACTTGGAGGTTGGTCACCTCCTACAATCTCTGATTAGATGTTGTTTGATTGGCCTGCCTCCATAGGGTATCCTTGAATCCTCCAGTGCGTCCAAGGACTTTCTCCTTGCCATGAAGTTTGAAATAGGTTTCCTTAGTGTGGCCCGACTTTTTACAATGTGTGCAGCAACTATCATTCTAGTTAGACCTTGTAGGGGGCTTTCTTTAATAGGAGGATCCTTTTATGGGATCCTTTCTAGAGGCTAGAGCTTAGCCATCTATGGCTTTTTTATCCAGCATTACTGCCCTGCAGCTCTCTTCACCCTGAACAGTGTAAAAGACCTCTGAGAGAGAAGGGAGTTTTTCTTGTCTAGAATCTAAACTCTAATTAGGCCAGAAAGAAACTTAAAGATCCACACTTTCTCAATGAACTGTGTCAGTCTGGGAGTATCCTCCTTGCACTTCATTGCCAAATTCTGATATTGATCCAATTCAAGACCCCTGCTTAGTGTTGAAGATTTTATTCTCCAGCTCATAACAAGGTGAAATCTCTTTTTTAGTTCAGTGAAACATTATGCAGTTTTGTCAAGGATAATTTATGGGTTGAGATCCTGAGCTGACTTGACTCGTCGGCCTTTCTGATAATGTAATCTTGCAAGTGATGACCATTAAAAATTTGCTGTTTCTATATATTAATTATCTTGCTGTATGTTTCTTCTATATTTTACAGTATTTTGGTCAAATGCCTACAAAAAATAAATTTAGAGGAGAAAAATCATGCGCTAATTATTTCAATATAAAATTTAAATGGTACGCTAGCTGATTGTTATGGAAGCAAACTATTGCATGATAAACCAAGTTCGACGCTCCCTAAGGAGGCCTATAGTCAATGTTTAGCTCTTGCTATCTTTTGTGATTTCCCAACATGAAAATGGAAGGAAGAAAGCAAATCTATTTAAGTTTGCTCAGGACAGAAAAATAAGCTAATAAAGTTGAATAAATCGATTATAACATTATGGCAAACTTGTCAATTTTGATACTCCAGCTAAGCTTTTGTTCGGAGACTCTTGCTTATTAAGCATCATATTTTATGATACAGAGTTGTAAATAATTGATAAAAATAAAAGAAATCGAGCATTTATTGTAAGTAAGCAGTTATTTTAAATTACACTGGTATTTAAATCACGGTGCAATGCAATAGAACACAGTCTATAATATATTTATTTTAAACATAATTATGTGTAATTTTTCAAGAAAAAATTTGGTGATGTTTTTTTTTATTAATATTAAATTTCGTATTTAATGTCATCACTGAAAAGTAAAATCTCTCCTTAACATACTTTTGTGATTGATCATTTTTCTGAAAAGTGAAATTAATATTTAAAAAGTGAGTAATTTATGATACAAGTAGTTTAATTTTAAAAATAAGATATTATATAACAAGAAGTGTGTTGAAAAGTGTGTTGTTAACAATTTTTTAAAATATTTATTATTTAATAAAAAATTACTGCTTTTAAATACTTAAAATCAATTTAAATGTTAAGGTTAACAAAATATTAATTTTATTGGTCTAAATCGCTTGAATTATGCATAATTAAAAGTAATTAATATGGCATTGCTGAAAAGAATAACATAAATTGGTGTTTTTGTCTTTTTAAGCATGAGGTTATTGTTTATTTTTTTCTCTATTTTTTTATATTATGCACAGTATTTGATATCATGATATTAAATTTGTAAGAATCTTGTCAAAATCTAAATTTTTCTAAATTTATTGAAATTTATATATTGAAGGATTTCTCAAAAATATTGAATTGTAGTAAATGAGTAAAAATTATGTTATTTATTTAGTTAGAATAAGAGACCAAAGTTTATGCATAAAAATCATTTTTATTAAACTTTAATTTTTTAAAAATCCAATTTTTTTATATTTTAATTAGTCTTTAAAATAATTGTGATGTTCTTTTAAATATTGAATTCTGACCAGGATATAAAGATTTTGTATAATTTTATTTATTAAAATAAGAGATTGAATTGAATTTAGTCAACCTTGTATAGTTGTATTCTATTTTCTTTGACACTTTAACAATTTTATTTATTATCTTTTTATTGTCATTTCATAAAATTAATGAATAATTAATATTTTTATAATTTTTCCTTAACATTTAATCTTTATTTGCTAGAAGATAATAAATAAGTGAGATAATTAATTTAATATGTGAAAAGTTAAGTACTACTTTTTTTATAAAATTTATGATACTAATATTTTTAAAAATTTACAAAACTTTAGAAGTGAAAAAGAAAACGGCGAGATTATATTAGTCAGGAAACCTATCCTTTTAGTCCCAGGCATATAGAAAAGGTATTGCATTTGGCACTGCGAATTCACTCGGGAGCAAATATGAGGGTACAAATTCTTTTCAATTGTGGCAAAAACTAAACATCCAATTTCATTTTCATTCAAGTACAAATAGATTAGTTTAAAAGAAAATATAAGAAACAAATAAAAAAATTATACAAAATTAACTTAAATAAATTTTACAGATTCATTTAAACGAATTTTACACATTAATTTAAGGAGATAAAAGTTAGGTGTAAGAAAAAGAGAACTGAGAATGAATGAAGATTAGAAGAGTAAGTATTATAAGAGTGGTGGTGGAGGGAGAGAAAGGCATAGAGTTGGAGATATGAGGTGGAGTGTGAGTGAAGAGAAAAAAAAGAAAAGTTAGACAAAGAAAGAAAAAGTTAAGAGAGAAAAAGAGAAGTTAAATATAAAAAAAGTTGTTGAATATAAAAATTAAAGAAGGTTGAATATGAAAGTAAATAAAAAAATGTTAGGTGTAGAGAAAAGAAAAAAATTGAAAAAAAAGAAGCAAAATTCAAGTGAATCTGCACAATTTGTATAAGTTAACTGCGTAAAAAAAATTGTCATTTATGCATTTTTACTCATCGACCCAAATTTTGGCCTTTTAACTTTTCAATTAATAATTATAAATTTTTCTACTTTTTATCTCTAAATTTCTTAATTACTTTAAAAATGATAAATACATCTAAAAATAATAAATACATGTGTTTTATCATTTCTATCCAGTTAAAAGATTATTTCTTAGAAGGATATAAAGCAACGGTTTAAACTTCGAATTTTCTATGAAGCAATAATATTGAGTCTAGATGGTAAGGCAAAAATGTAGGAGACGAGTATGACTTTCCAGTCCAACGAGCGATTTTGGAACCCAACCAACAGTCTCGATGTTGCTATTGGTTACACACGCCATTCAAAATTTCAGACTACATTTATGAAGTATCGGGGCAGCACTATAAATAAGTCAGATTATATTCACTTTTCCCATCTGAATTATAAACTCTATATATTTTTGGCTTGTAGTGTGGTATAGACAAAATGGGGTCATTTAATACTGATATTGTCCATGTGTTGCTTGTCTCATTCCCAGGGCAAGGGCACGTGAACCCTCTTCTGAGGCTTGGGAAGTGCTTGGCCTCAAATGGTTTGCTGGTCACATTTTGCACCCCAGAAAGCTGGGGAAAGCAGATGAGAGAAGCGAGCAATATCTCGGACGAGGAAGTCTCCATTGGAGAGGGTTTCTTAAGGTTCGAATGGTTGGAAGATGGGTGGGATGAGGAAGAGCCTCGGAGAGAGGACTTGGATCAGTATCTGCCCCAACTTGAGATAGCTGGAAAGCAAGCCCTCTCTCGCATCATCAACCACCACGCTCAACGAGGCCGGCCCGTTTCATGTCTCATCAATAACCCTTTCATCCCCTGGGTTTCTGATCTTGCCCAATCCCTTTCCCTCCCTTCCGCCATGCTTTGGGTTCAATCTTGTGCTTCCTTTTCTGCCTACTACCATTACTACCACAAACTAGTGCCTTTTCCTTCCGAAACTGAGCCCGAAATTGATGTTCAGCTGCCATGCATGCCTTTGTTGAAATACGACCAAGTCCCCAGCTTCCTCCATCCAATCACTCCCTACCCATTCCTTCGAAGGGCAATCATGGGACAGTTCGCCAACCTGGAAAAACCCTTTTGTATTCTGATGGACACCTTCCAGGAGCTGGAGCACGACATCGTTGAGCACATGTCGAAGATTTTCCCTATTAAGACAGTTGGACCCTTGTTCAAGGCCCCACATGAGAGCACCGTGCGTGGTGATTTGTTGAAGGCCGATGACTGCATCATGGAGTGGCTTAACTCGAAGGCACCCTCTAGCGTGGTGTACATATCCTTTGGCAGCGTGGTGTACTTGAAACAAGAGCAAGTGGATGAGATCGCCTACGGCCTTCTGGACTCGGGAGTTTGTTTCCTTTGGGTGATGAAGCCTCCTCACAAACACTCTGGGAATGAGGTTCACGTGCTTCCTCGTGACTTCCTTGAGAAAGCAGGGAACAAAGGCAAAGTGGTGCGGTGGAGTCCGCAGGAGCAAGTTCTGAGTCACCCCTCGGTGGCTTGCTTTGTTACTCACTGTGGGTGGAACTCGTCCATGGAAGCACTCACCTCTGGAGTGCCCCTGGTGGCGTTCCCGCAGTGGGGTGACCAAGTGATCAATGGGAAGTACTTGGTGGATGTTTTCCAAGTGGGTGTTAGAATGTGCAGAGGTGAAGCTTCAAATGAATTGATAAAGAGGGATGAGGTGAAGCAGTGTTTGTTGGAGGCAACCGTTGGCCCCAGAGTGCCCTGCATGAAGCATAACGCTTTCAAGTTCAAGGCAGCAGCAGAAGCCGCGCTAGCCCCAAGTGGTTCTTCTCATTGCAACATGCAAGCATTCGTGGATGAAGTAAGGAAGAGAAGCGTAGAGATTAGAAACACTTGTGGCAATGCTTCCCCTTCTCACGTCAAGCCAATCCCAATGGTCACCAAAGAAAAATAACAAAATCAAATTCTTTGGTCACCCAAAATAAAATATGGATTAGTGTGACTAATTGTGTGGGTTGACTTCTTAAACATATGTTGCACTGCAGTGATTTAAAATAATTCCAACTATATGTGGGTGTGATTGTAATACTACCAATTACCAACATTACATACAAGGGGACAGGGGGGTCTATTACAAATTCTTGGTGGCCCTTTTGTTTAGTACCAACATCACACAGCGGTTTTTTAATATTTCACTTTGAATAAAAAATTCCAGATGCGATATTCATATTTTTTAAAAATATATATTTACAGATTAAATTGAAGAATAGTTGTGCGTTATTATTTAGGAAGTAAAATTATTTTTAAAATATCATGGTTGAATACATATATCGATTTTCTTTAACATTTCGTTCGATGTTATTTTTTTCAAATCATTTATTTCAAAATTTAAACCAAACCAACCCTACGTGAACATTGTAATTGAAGTTCATATGCCTAATGGTCATGGACTTGACTTTCCCCGTTTACCACTTTTCTACTGAACGTTGGGCATGCGTTTAGATATTTAAAAATTACTCGAACAAACAAAAAGAAGAAATTTAAAAATTGGTCCATGGAGGAACCTTCGTGTATGAATTTTCAGAATTTGAGATGATATTGACTGAAGGATTATCGCCAAGCATCTTTTTTTTTTCCCACAAATATTTATGAAATAAAATATGATGATACGTGCTACTTACCAGCAGTATATATCGGGTAATTATTTATTGAGAAAGCTTAAATATAATATTATAAATATTTAATATTTTTCTTTAATTAAAATTATATATTTATTTTAATAATGTGTGTCAATTTTTAACGTTAATATTTATTGTGTGAATTATTAAGACAAAATTCTAATTTTAAATAAAAAAAATACACATTTACTATTTCACCTAAGTTTGATTCATTACTTGCTACTTATTAATTAGCATGTATACACGGTATGCACATAGCACAATACAATTCGTGTAGGAAAGAATAAGAGAAAGTACGCGTTTGAATTAGAGTTTTTAAACTTTATTATAGATAAATTTAATTTGAATTGAAAAAGAATTTAAATTTGAGTGAATTTGTTTATAATTTAAAATAATTATTTTAAATTTAATTTTGACATAATAACACTATTTAGACAATATTAATAAAAGTTACTTTACATTTAATTACTAAAAAGATAAAAGTTTCGTCTTTTGGGATAGATTAAAAAGAAAATGTTAAAAATTGAAATCTCTCAAGAACTAGTGTAAATACAATTTTTACAAGTTTCGGTTTTTTTTTTTATCTTAATTTTCGCTTGTACTTTTTTCTTTTTTATTTGTTTATCAAATAATTTACTATTATTATTTTCTTTTTTTAATTTTATTTCTATTTAATGGTTGCTGATAAAAATTTATCTTAAAAACGTTAATAATTCAAGAAAAGATGAGTAGGATTTCGATATAAAAAAAGAATAGAAAGAAAGAGTGGTGAGATATTGATTACTGAATTTAATGAAGACCACGTACATGGAAAAAATGATATTTTGGGGCAGTGGTGGTATCAAAATTGTCCAACTCGATTGTAGGGAGCAGAGTGGATGGAAAATCAATTCAAGCACCGATTCAAAGTTGAAAGTGGTGAGTCAAAATGAAATAGTAAGGACGTTCAATGAACCTGGTAATGCAATGTAAGAATTAAGGTAGCGCATATTAGGAGGGCTTCTTCATAAGTCTAGTAGTTAATTACAGTTACAGAGAATCAGAGATAGATAACATATTAGCATGGCGTTTTTGGGGTTTCGTGAACTGGACGAGAGGTCGGTGATAGAGTACGTGAAGGGCATCCCTGCCCTGTCCTCAAAGTTGATGCTGGATAACGATGACGTTGACCATGACTTAACGGTAAACGAGATCGGAGATGGTAACCTCAACTTGGTCTTCGTGGTCGCCAACTCTGCGGGTTCCATCATTATCATCAAACAGGTAAATCTGCATGTCTGTGTCACAAACTTGCTGATGCTGATGCTTGATTAATGGTTGGGAATTGTAGGCTCTGCCGTACATTCGTTGCATAGGGGAATCATGGCCACTGACGAAGGAGAGAGCATACTTTGAGGCGATGGCGTTGGAAGAGCAGGGTCGCTTAACCCCTCAACATGTCCCGCAACTCTATCACTTTGACCAAACCATGTCCTTGATCGCCATGCGCTACCTTGAGCCCCCCACATCATCCTCAGAAAAGGCCTCATTGCTGGCATTCAGTATCCACTCCTCGCCCACCACATGGCACATTTCATGGCCAACACCCTTTTCTTTACTTCTCTCTTGTTCCGCTCCACAGAACATCATAAACGGGAAGGTTGTTTCTCGTTAGTTTATGTTTGTTACTCCATACTCCATTCCATTGTCGTTGTGGCACGGTAATTCCCTTCGTTAATCATCACATTTACATTTGCAGTTGCCAAATTCTGCGGGAATGCAGCGTTATGCAGGCACACTGAGCAGGTTGTTTTCTCTGACCCTTATCAAATTTCTCAGTATAATCACTGGACTTCTCCTTACCTTGATCCTCATGCTGAGGCCCTTCGTCATGACAATCTACTCAAACTTGAAGTTGCTCACCTCAAATCTAAGTACGTATTGCTATTAATTCCCGCTTTACTTATTTTCGTTCTAACAAGTAACAATTTTTTATTCTTGCAGGTTCTCGGAGAGGGCCCAGGCACTAATACACGGTGATCTACACACTAGTTCTGTCATGGTCACACCTGAATCAACTCAAGTGATTGATCCAGAATTTGCATTTTATGGACCAATGGGTTTTGACATTGGTGCATTCTTGGGTAACTTGATCTTGGCTTTCTTTGCTCAAGACGGACTCGCTCATCAAACTGATCATCGAAAAGTACCTCCTATTTTTTGCGATTGTTATTTTATGTTCTTTTTATTCAATGTTTTTTCTTGTCCACAAGATTTCCGTTGAAAAGAAAACAAACAAAATTGATCGCAATTTGACTTCTATCAAACTCCAATTCTGTTCTGTATATAACTGGTGCCTTGTTATCCAATCCATCTATGTTATAATCAAGAGACAGAGTACTTGATGTGTGTTTTAAGGTAACAAATTTATATCATGCGGATTTGTGGAATCACCAAAGAGAAAACTTGGGGGAACGGAAACATATAGCATGTTTGATTTCTATTCTTAAAACAGTTTTCTGTTTCTATTTTTAAAAATTCATTCTAACACAAACAGAAATCAAACATGCTTTTAATCTGCTATCAGTTTTTACTAGTATTATGCTGTTTATGTATTGTTCTTTATGATGCACCATATTTCAAAAATCATGACGTATGAAACTGCATTCGTATTTGATACAGATACACATAAAATACACTTACACTTGTATTCACGGTTTATTTCGTTTGCTTGTTGATTTTGACCTTCCTAATACTTATATTATTTAACTATTAGTGTAAATTTTTTTTATATAATATTTTTTTTTTATTTTTAAGAGTTTTTATTTTTAGAAAGTTATTATTGAGTAAGATTTTGTCAAGATTATAGTAAAATATTCAATATAACATACATTAAATATATTTTACTTCATACATGTTACCATACTCGTATCTTAATATTTTAAAATTTTGTCGTATTTACATGTATAGTTTTGTCTCGTCTACTAGTAGCTTTGGAATGCGGGATGGGTTACATAATGGGACTATGCGTTTAATTATGATTCTTATTAATCTATGGAGATTACTGATTGAAGGGGGGAAAAGAGTGATATAACGATATTCTTTGTCTGAAACCAAAAGAATACCATGTGACGCAGGCATATAAGGAGTGGATTCTTCAGACAATCGAAGACACTTGGAATCTTTTTTATCACAAATTCATTGCACTTTGGGACGAGCACAGAAATGGTGCTGGCGAGGCATATCTTCCAGCAATTTACAACAATCCTGAGGTTCAGCTTCTGGCACAGAAGAGATACATGACAGAGTTGTTTCATGACACACTTGGATTTGCCGCTGCCAAAATGATAAGGTGACACTTTTCCTATCTGACACAATTTAACAAAAAAGCTGAAAACAAAATAAAACTATTAAGAGCCCATTTGACCTCCAAATTATTTCAAATTTTGAGCAAATGTAGACCTTGTTTTAGGTAGAGTTGATATGGATTCACTCTCAATTACTTGTTTTGACAGGAGAATCGTTGGTGTGGTCCATGTTGAGGATTTTGATTCCATTACCGATGCTGTTAAACGGGCTTCCTGTGAACTGAAGGCACTTAATTTGGCTAAGATGCTTCTCAAAGATAGACGAAAATTTGAAGGCATTACTGAAATTGTTTCAGCAATGCAGCAGTTATAGTCTCCACAAGGATTTGCTATATTGACATTTCCATCGCGTACTGTAAATTTAATTTAGCTCTCCTGAAGTGTTTGGCAGTGTCACTGTCAACACTCAACATCATGCATGCATAGAGTTTTCTCTGTTTCTTCTGTTGTCTAGTGACAGTAAGTTTCTTATTACTATCCGTTTACTTATTCAAGATCCTCTCCTTTCTCTTTCAAAAATCCCATCCCGAACCACCCCGAATCCATATGGCAAAATTTGAAAGAGGATTGTGAACTCCATCACTACAATAGTTGATTTTTCACCCCATTAATGTTTAGACTTTTATGGGTGAATTAACGGATAACTGATGGGTTAATAAAAGTTAAATTAGAGATGATAAAGCTGTAGGCATAAATAGATGCTGTCTTTGAAGGATTTGAATTAGCGTAACTGGGAATCCTTTCAGGTGTAATATAGTAAGAAACTGTTCACAGACATTATGCAAATATTGATCTATATCTCAATATATATTGAAAGAGAAATTGACCTGCATAACATGAATTTATCGGTGAAGTGAATAATAGGAAAGTGTATAGCACCGCAACATCTAAAGCAGTTATCTGGCACAAATACATTTATTTAGTATTCTGAAAAGCTAACAATTCTAGTTGGTGCCATACTTGGCCTTGTAATCACTCCACAGCTGAGTTACTGGCTTCCCTAGCAGTTCAGTAAAGTAGCTCTCACTGTAACTGGTCTTCATCATCTTGTTTAAATCGGCAACAAAGCCATTTTTTATGCTATTGCAATAATCTAAAAATCGAGCTGTGACATCGTATCCTTGGTTCCAATTATCATCATGCCCTGGCAGAACCCAGGAGGGTGCTGCATAGCCAGCCTTCAACCGCACAAAATCAGCTATGCCTTCAACGAGTCCTGAAGGAGCCTGGCCGTTTCCGTTCCACTGCCATGCATGGGCCATTTCATGATAGAGTAATCCTGTAATCTCCTTTTTTACATCCCCAGGGTAACTTTCAATGTAGCTTGCACTCACATGAATCTCGTTGTTGCTACAATATGCGATCCCATCAATGTTTTCAACTATCATACTGATTTTTTGGACGTTCTTCCTGTCACCTACAGTGTTCTGCTGAAAGAGCTTCAGTGTGAAGTCCACAGCAGAGCTCAGTGTTTGCTTGGCATAATCTGCTCCTACATTTTTGTCAAATAGCTTACCACCAGTGCTGGATTCAGCATTGTTGGACACAACATAGTCCACTGCCATACAACTATAGATAGCCGCCAGTGTTAGTACGAAGCATAGGACGTGCTTAAGGTATTCAGCCATTGTTGTGTTAGTTGGGTTTTGCGCAATAGTCCTAGGGGGTGCTCTACAGCTTTTGTAGGAGGAATTTGAAGTCAAAACAGCTAGTAATAAGGAGGTGCTGGGTGCATGACTTAGACTAAAGAAAGTCGGCCCCAAAGATCATACATCAACGTAACAGCAAATATTCTTTTCTATTAATTTCTTTTTCAAAACCCTACTCCACTCGGATCTCATTCCCTCTTTGCAACAAAAGTAAAGCTAGTGAATATTGTCAAATCATGCGATTATTGTTTTAATTTCTATAAACATACATCCTAAGAATTTTTTAGTTCTGTAAAATAGGGATGTCTGAGTTATAAGCATACATCCTAAATCAGAAGTTTAAACTGGTGGTTATCTTGTTCACGAGAAGCATTTTGTCTTATTTGACTCCTTTAGAAGTGGTGAATATAGCATAATTTTAGAATCATCTCATCCATATGAGTACATGTCGTAGTGGATTGATTGAAGGAGTAAACAAGTTAAAAATGCCACTTCAGATAATACGTCATAAAGTTTGGAGTTCTGCTGAAATTATAAGACTAATAAGGTAAACTATCCATCCTATTTTCCATTATAATCAGCATGCAGTCATTTGTTGAACTCTTATTTAGATATATTTTTAAACTAACCAGCCCCCAAGGCCTTAGCTAATAGCTAATTGGCATATTGGGCCTTGTAGTCATTCCACAGCTGATCAACATTCTTACCGAGAAGCTGAACAAAGTATTGGCTGCTATAGCCATCCCTCATCTTGTTGTTGAGTTGTGCTACAAAACCATTTTTGAGAGTGTTACAGTAGTCAAGAAAATAAGCTGTAATATCATAACCTTGGTCCCATCTCTGTCCCTGGCCTGGTTTAACCCAGTGAAGGGGTGCATAGCCAGCTTTCAACCTCACAAAATCTGCTATTCCTTCAATGAGTCCCCCAGGAGCCTGTCCATTCCCATTCCACTGCCATATGTGAGTCATTTCATGATACAGAACACCTGTAATCTCTGTTTTTACATTCCCAGAATAGCTTCCAACATATTTTGCGTTTAGATGAATCTCATTGTTGGTGGCATATGCGACTCCATCCATCTCCTCCACAATCAAGCTCACTTTTTCCACCTTTTTCCTGTCAGCAAGACCATTTTGCTGGAACACCCTCCATGTGAATTGTGTGGCAGATTTCAGTGTTTGCTTGGCGTAGGCTGCGCCTATTTCTTGATTGAAACGCACACCACCAGCAGTTGTTGATGCTGTGTTGGTGACAGTGTACTGAACCTCGTGCGTTCCATGAATGCAGGCTAGAATTACTACCAAAGATAGCACATGCATAATGTATTTAGTTGTCATAGCTCTCGAGATTTTTGGTTTCTTTTCATCCCAATCTGATTTTTATAAGAACATAAAAGACAAACAACAACAACCAGGACGCTAGTGGTGTGCTCCAGTGCAGACTGCAGAGTAATGCACTCCCACACTTCAGTTAGTGCTTTAATGGAAATTTGCCTGATGCCATTTTTAATATATTGCGCTAATTTTCACTTCCCTTTCAACATTGGTTACTATATTAGATATTTAATGGGATGAGTACCACTTATTTAACCAAAAATTAATATCAGCCTTTTTTATACTTTAATTGTTCTATGACCATATTTACATAAGAGTTACTCAATATAGAGTTAAAAATATAGATCACAATCAAAATTATATTTCTTGAAAATTGTAACTAAATAGTCTAGACTCACTGCTAAGACATAAACTAACAAAATAAATAGTTACAATTTTCTCAAAATGCATGATGACTCCAAACATCCCTCAGCCAGACCTTCAGCATGAAAAGTAGATGCATTACCTTTCATATCTGCTCATGTATCACTATACGATCATTGCAATACACACACTAACACAAACAAAATGCAAGGGTGAACTTACGCAACAAATAATTACATAATGCAAAATATATTATATACATTTTCAACAAATTTTAGCTAATCAATGCAGTTTATTCAACACATTCTCAACCCATCTAATAGAAATACAATAGTTCAGTTCTAACTGGTTTTACAACTCTAGTATTTCAGAAGGAACTGTTTTCGGTTTGGAAGTGACTCATCCTGGTATCTGGATCCAAACATAGCTCAGCATTTTTCTTATTGTTACGTGTCTAATCACCTAAACATGTAATTCAACTCTAGAATGATGAAAATCAACATGATGCAACACAGCTATATATGTTTTCTTAGTCTCAGCAATACAACCATATATACTTTCATTCAATCTCAGCAGCACAGCCATATGTACATAGTTTCATTTAGTCTCAGCAATACAGCCATATATATATAGGATAAAGCCTCACCCAGTGTTTCTCGTCCTGCTCCTCAAATACAGGACATCTCACAGGACAATTCTGGAAAGGTTGAAATAACCTTTGATAGGAGAAACTCTTTCTCCTCAAGGATCGATGCTTATAGCAATCGATCTGATTTTGTCTCTGCTAGAAGATCTTTCTCTTCTAGACCTTATATTAGACCTGACATTCCTAGGTCTGTTAATCATGACCCCTCTCTAAATCTTCAAGGTTTAGACACTTCTTCTAGGATTCCTAGAAATGTTTATCAGACATCTGAAAAAGAAGACGAAAATCAGAGTATCCAATCTCCAACCTACTCTTCCCTTAATGAGTCTTATGATGTTATCTCATAAATTCATTATAGATAAGGAAACCCTTAGGAAAGATTTCTACTCTGAGGAATGGAAACCTCAAAGAGAGTGGTTCTTTCAAAATTATAGGGGAAAAGATAGGTCTGCCATCCAAGAGAAATTCTATCAATTTCTCGAAAAAGTCAAACAAAATATTCCATTCTTTGATTGGTATCATGCTTATACCATTCGTAATAATATTGATTATCCTTGGCAAGAGGATGTTATTAGTACCTCTTCTGCTAATGTTATATCCTGGAAAATCAAAGACGGACAAATTGTCCAAAGTGATTTACCACCCACATCTCAATACCAATTACCCAATTTGAAAGACAAAGGCGGTAACCCTGTTACTGCTACTCCTTTTAAGTCTAAAAATCCTGATGAGTCTATCACTCCTCATGATATCCAAGGCCTTATGGAACAGGCCAATTATACTAATAAATACCTTCAGGTTTTGGGAGAAAAAATCTCTGTTAGTCCTATCAAACCCAAACTTGAAGAAGTATCTTCTTCATCCTCCCAACCACAATTAGAAAAACCTCTGTTTAAACCTTTTAAGATTAGTGCCAAAGCTAAGCAGAAAATCTTAGAACTCAGGTAAAGAGAAAAAGCCAAGGTGAATGAGGAAAACCAGAATGAGTTGCTTAGTAAAATTACTAGCCTCCTTACCACTATTCCCGACACTCCTCAACCCTCTGAAGAATCTAGTGCTAAACCCAGGACTAGGTCTTTTGCCAAGACTATCAATGCCATTTCCAAGACTGATTCAGAACATTGTTCTGAAACAGATTCTATCTTAGCTATCAATCCAATCAATAATTGGAAAAATTCCTCCAAGCTTTATTATAATAGAGCTACTGCTCCTGATCTTATTTTAGAAGAAAAACATGATTTTATTCAAAGTTTTAATTCTAATGATATTTATATTTGGAATATCGATGGATTATCTGAATATAATATCATTGCCAAACTTCAAAACATGTCGGTTGTCGCTATGGGCTATTTTACTAATCAAAATATGCCTGAAGACACCATTGTCTATATTCTTGTTGCCGGTTTTACTGGCCAACTCGAAGGTTGGTGGGATAATTATCTCATTGAAGCTGATAAAGATAATATCCTCTCTGCAGTTAAAATTGATGATAAGGGGAAAACCATTGTTAATGACAATGAGCGTCTCCCTGATGCTGTGTATACATTATTATACACAATATCTTAACATTTCCTAGGTGATCCTTCTCTTTGGAGGGAAAGATCAGGTGAGTTACTTTCAAAACTCAAATGTGATTCCTTGGAACATTTCAAGTGGTATAAAGATACCTTTATGTCTAGGGTCCTTACTAGGGAAGATTGTAACCAAGCTTATTGGAAAGAAAAATATCTTGATGGTCTTCCTAAAGCATTCGGAGATCTTATTAGAAGTAAACTCCGAAGTCGTTCTTCTACTGGAGAGATTAATTATGATAAATATGATTATGGTCAGCTTACTGCTATTATTGTCCATAGTGGTATTTAAGCCTGACAGAAAGATAAACTCCAAAAACAACTTGCTAAAGAAAAAGCTTTGAGCAAGAAAGAATTAGGTTCATTCTGCGAACAGTTTGGTCTTCCATCCTGCTCTCCTAAAAAGAAACATGCCCCTAAGAAAGAGGCTGTAGAACCTTACAAAAAGCCCTACAAACGCAGGTACAATAGAAAACCCAGTCCTAAGAAACAAGGGGATAATGTTATCCCCACCAATATTCCCAAAAAACCCAGAACAGGCATAACCTGTTACAATTGTGGTAAACCTGGCCATATTAGTAAATACTGCAGGTTAAAAAAGAAAATTAGTAGTCTTAATTTGGATCCTTCTTTAGAAGACCAGATTAACCATCTTTTGGCTGATTCCTCTAGTGAAGACGCTAATAAAGAATCTGAAGAGGATGTTAACCAAATTCAGAATGATGACCAAGCCTCTTCTTCTGACAGTGACGAAACTCCAGAAATCAATGTTTTGACAAAAGAACAAGATCTTCTTTTTGAAGCTATAAGCTCTATTTCGGATCATCAAGATAGAAAAGAATTTTTAAATAAATTCAAAGAGGTTTTAGAAAATAAACCTAAACCTAAAGAATATTTTACTTCAAACAAATTTGACATTACAAATATTTTCAAAAGATTAGAAAAGAATTCTAGTATTAAACCAACCACTATACAAGATCTCCAGATTGAGATAAATAATCTTAAAAAAGAGATCAGAGAAATCAAAGATCAACAACAAATTCATCAAGTTATTCTTTCTCAGTTAGATGATGATTCTGACATTGAGAAAGTAGAACTTCCTGAAAATAATGATTCTGTAAAGGTTGATTCTGATAATCCAGAAGAAACCTTTATGTGTTTGATCAATAAGGTCAAAATACAAAAATTTTATATTAATATCAGAATCGTTATTGATGATTTTGTTCTTGATACTTTGGCCCTCTTTGATACAGGTGCTGATTCAAACTATATTTTAGAAGGATTAATTCCTACAAAATATTTCAAAAAAACCTCTGAAAAACTCAGCACTGCTAGTGGTTCAAAACTGAAAATTAACTACAAACTTTCTAAAGCCGTGATTGAAAATCAAGGGCTTAAGATTGAGACAAATTTTCTTCTTGTAAAAAATTTAAAAAATGAAGTTATTTTGGGAACACCTTTTATAAAAGCTCTTTTCCCTCTACAAATTTCGAAAGATGGTATTTCCACTCGTCATTTAGGAAAACAGGTAATTTTCAAATTTTCTAACAAACCATTTACAAAAAATATTAATTCTATTCAAAACAAAATTAATCAAATTAATTTTCTAAAAGAAGAAGTTTCTTTTGCCAACATTGAAAAACAATTACAAGGTCCTTCTCTCCAGAAGAAAATCCAATCCCTTTTAAGAAACATCCAAACTTCTATATGTTCTGACCTACCCAGCGCCTTCTGGAATAGGAAAAAACATATTGTCAGTCTTCCTTATGAGTCAGGTTTTAAGGATAGCCAGATTCCTACTAAAGCCAGACCAATACAAATGAATGAAGAACTCCTTCATTATTGTCAGAAAGAGATTACAGATCTCTTAGACAAAAATCTTATTAGAAAAAGCAAGAGTCCTTGGTCTTGCTCCGCTTTTTATGTTAATAAACCTGCTGAGATTGAGAGAGGTACTCCTAGACTTGTCATCAATTACAAACCCCTCAATCAAGCCCTTCAATGGATTAGACATCCTATCCCCAATAAAAAAGATCTTCTTAACAGACTTAATTCTGCTAAGATCTTTTCAAAATTCGACATGAAATCTGGATTTTGGCAAATCCAAATTTGCGAAAATGATAAGTACAAAACTGCCTTTACTGTTCCCTTTGGGTATTACGAATGGAATGTTATGCCCTTTGGTCTAAAAAATGCTCCTTCTGAATTTCAAAAAATCATGAATGACATTTTCAATCCTTATTCAAAATTTGTCATTGTCTACATTGACGATGTTTTAATTTTTTCCCAATTTGTTGATCAACATTTTAAACATATAAATGTTTTTATCAATGTTATTAAACAAAACGGTCTTGCCGTTTCAAAATCAAAAATTAGTCTCTTTCAAACCAATATCAGATTCCTTGGACATAATATCCACCAAG